GGATGTGCTACTGCTAGTTTATCCATTTAATTATAGATCCACTAGGATAATTACGATAAAGTTTATCTCTCACCAAATAGAATATTTACTAAGAAATCACAATTTAACTATAGACACATTACTTTGTCTTTGTGCGTGTGTGTGTGTGTGTGTGTGTGTGTGTGTGTGTGTGTGTGTGCCTGCTCCGTCTTCTCGATCCCCAGTGAGTCGTGGTGGATGGCTGCTTATACTGAGCCAGGATTCTCTGGAGGTTTCTTCCTGTTAAAAGGGAGTTTTCCTTTCCACCGTTGCTTTATGCTTGCTCAGTATGAGGATTGCTGTAAAGTCACTGACACTAGTCAGTGACTTGATGCAATTTGCTGGGTTCCTTATATAGGAAAAATTATTTCTGATTGGCTTAATGACCTGACCTGAATTGGAATGTTTATTACGTGAAGTGCCTTGAGACGACTCTTGTCCTGATTTGGTGCTATATAAATACAATTGAATTGAATTGAATTGAATCCTACCCTCACTCGTGAACAAGACCCCGACATACTTAAACTCCTCCACTTGAGGTAAGACCTCTCTCCCGACCCGGAGTTGGCAAGCCACCCTTTTCCAGTCGAGAACCATGGTCTCAGATTTGGAGGTGCTGATCCTCATCCCAGCCGCTTCACACTCGGCTGCGAACATACCCAGCAAGAGCTGAAGGCTGGAGCTGGATGAAGCTAGGAGGACCACATCATCCGCAAAAAGCAGAGACGAGATTCTCCTGCCACCAAACTCGACACACTCCACACCACGGCTGCACCTAGAAATTCTGTCTATATAGGTAATGAACAGAACCGGTGACAAAGGGCAGCCCTGGCAGAGTCCAACCCTCACCAGGAACAGGTCTGACTTACTACCGGCTATGCAGACTAAACTCACGCTCCTCTGGTAAAGGGACTGAATGGCCCTTAACAGAAAGCTACCCACCCCATACTCCTGGAGCGCCCCCCACAGGGTGACCCTGGGGACACGGTCATAAGCCTTCTCCAAATCCACAAAACACATGTGGATTGGTTGGGCAAACTCCCATGCTTCCTCCATCACCCTTGCAAGGGTAAAGAGCTGGTCCACAGTTCCACTGCCAGGACGAAAACCACATTGCTCCTCCTCAATCTGAGATTCAACTATCGATCGGACCCTCCTCTCTCGTACCTTGGAGTAGACCTTTCCAGGGAGGCTGAGGAGTGTGATCCCCCTATAGTTGGAACACACCCTCAGGTCACCCTTTTTAAAGATGGGGACCACCACCCCGGTCTGCCACTCCACAGGAACTGCCCCCGATGACCACGCAATGTTGCAGAGATGTGTCAACCACGACAACACCGACAACATCCATAGCCTTGAGAAACCCAGGATGAATCTCATCCGCTCCCGGGGCTCCACCACTGTGTACTTGTTTGATTACCTCAGCAACTTCTGACCCCAAGATTGGACAGTCCATCCCCAGGTCTCCCGGGCCTGGTTCCTCCTCGGAATGCATGTAGGTGGGATTGAGGAGCTTCTCAAAGTATTCCTTCCACCGTCCGACTATAGCCCCAGTTAACGTCAGCGGCTCCCCATCCCCACTGTAAACAGTGTGAGCGAGTTGCTGCCTTCCTCTCCTGAGGCGCCGGACAATTTGCGAGAACCTCTTTGGAGCCGATCGATAGTCTTTCTCCATGGCCTCACCAAACTCCTCCCATGCCCGAGATTTTGCCTCGGCAACTGCCACTGCTGCACCCCGCTTGGCTATCCGGTACCTGTCTGCTGCCTCTGGAGACCCACAGACCAGCCACGCCCTGTAGGCCTCCTTCTTCAGCCTGACGGCTCCCCGAACCTCTGGTGTCCACCAGCGGGAATGGGGGTTGCCACCACCACTGGCACCAGCCACCTTGCGACCACAGCTAGCAACAGCCACCTCAACAATCGCAGAGTGGGACAAGGCCCACTCGGAGTCAATGTCCCCTCCCCTGCTCTCGGGACGCAGTCAAAGCTCTGCCGGAGGTGGGAGTTGAAGACCGTCTTGACAGGTTCTTCTGCCAGGCGTTCCCAGCAGACCCTCGCTATGCGTTTGGGTCTGCCAGGTCTACGCGGCATCTTCCCCGGCCCTCTGATGCAACTCACCACCAGGTGGTGATCAGTTGACAGCTCTGCTCCTCTCTTCACTCGGGGGACCAAAACATACGGCCGCAGGTCAGATGATACGACTACAAAGTCTATCATCGACCTGCGACCTAGGCTGCCCTGGTACCAAGTGTACCGATGGGCATCCTTATGTTCGAACATGGTGTTCGTTATGGCCAAACTGCGGCTTGCACAGAAGTCCAATAACAAAACACCGCTCGAGTTCAGATTAGGCGGGCCGTTCCTCCCAATCACACCCCTCCAGGTCATGCCATCATTGCCCACATGAGCATTGAAGTCCCCCAGCAGGACAATGGAGTCCCCTGATGGAGCACTATCTAGCACTCGTCCCAGGGACTCCAAAAAGGGTGGGTACTCTGAACTGATATTTGGCCCATAAGCACAAACAACAGTCAGGATCCGTTCCCCAACCCGAGAGTGCAGGGCAGCTACCCTCTCGTCCCCCAGGGTAAACCCCAACACACAGGCAGAGAGTCTCGGGGCTAACAAAAAGCCAACCCCAGCCCTCCGCCTCTCACTCGGAGCAACTCCAGCAAAGGAGAGTGTCCAACCCCTCTCAAGGACTTGGGTTCCAGAGCCAATGCTATGTGTTAAGGTGAGTCCGACTATATCTAGCCGGTACTGCTCAACCTCTGCCACAAGCTCCTGCTCCTTCCCCGCCAGAGAGGTGATGTTCCATGTCCCAAAAACCAGTTTCCTTGTCCGGGAATCGGACCTCCAAGGCTCCCGCCTCGGTCTGCCACCCGATCCACACTGCACCAGACCGTTCATGTTCCTCCTGCGGGTGGTGGGTCCACAGTTGGATGAGCCCATGTATCCGGTTCGGGCTGGGCCCGGCTGGGCCCCATGGGCGAAAGCCCAGCCACCAGGCGCTCGCCCACGGTCCCCAACCCCGGGCCTGGCTCCAGGGTGGGAACCTGGTAACCCTCCGAGCCGGGTACTCCGACTCTTTGATTGTAAATCAATGAAAGATCCTCTGACCTGTGAGGTAAAATGCTAATCGGCATGATGCCCATGCAAGAGCATATACACAAAAGTTAAGTGTGGTTGAAAGAGTCAAATGCAGCCAATCAAGGGTCACCAGATTTTTTGAAGCTCAGAGCTAATCAGAACCAGGTGGAAGCTGTTGTTTGTGGACCAAAGATAAGTGTGTGTTGTTAGCAAGCCCGAATAAGGTGACATCGTTAGTGGAGACAAATTTAGTGCTCTGTTTACTCCACCTCATATAGTGACATTTGCTGCTGGAGTTGAAACATGACAGACAATTCATCCTAATAGACATCATGTCCAACCGGTACAATAAATAAGTGGATTATTTGTTTAATGCTGTTCTTTTTCATTTCTAATCACGATTCTCACCACCCGCTGTCCCTTCGACTGTAGCTAATGGATTGTGGTTTATGCTTTTCTTCACATTATGTATCCATTTTTTTCATTCAAGGAAATAATTTTGGTTTCAAAAGTGGGGGATTACACAAATGACATTAGAGCTAGCGGTGGGGTCTGTGATACAGATGGTACACTTATTTCTAGAATGCATGGTTACGAGAAATCCCTTACATAATGTTCTACCTCTACATTTTCAGAAAAAAAAGGAAGAAACCACAAACAACCCCAAACTACCCCCCCCCACACACACACACAAATATATATAAATCCACGCACCCACTGTAACAACAGTGATACAAGAAGACAAGACTACCAAAGGCTGCCACTAACACTGCAGTTAAATCAAGGCTTCATAGACATGCCCCTGTTGCACTCGGTACAAGTCTTAAAGCCTCAGCTTCACTTGTCCCATCACTAACTCCAACCTCCACCATGACTGGGACCAGAGAGCTGTGTGAGGACACCAGGGACAAGGCTGTACACCTGCACAAGACTGGGATGGGCCAAAATACAACAGGCTATCAGCTTAGTCAGAAGAGTCAAACGCTGGATAAATGATTAGAAAATGGAATAAATACAAGTTCACTGAAAACCTCTCTTGACCTGGGGCTCCATGCTCGTGCTCACTAAGACGGGTACAAACGATCTTGAGAACAGTGAAGAAACAGCCTAGAACAACACATGGAGAACCTGTCAATGACCTGAAGAGAAAATAGAACTCCTTGGAATAAATGCCACTCGCAGTGTTGCATGCCAGGAACATCATACCCACAGTGATGCATGGGGGTGGAAACATCATGCTTTGGAGTTGCTTTTCTCCAAAGAGGACAGGACGATAACCCATATTATGGAAAGGATGAATGAGTTTGTTAGATTTTGGGGCAAAAACCTCCTTCCACCAGTGAGAGAATCAAAGATGAAACATGACTGGATCTTCCAGCATGGAAATGATCCCAAACACACCACCCAGGTAACCAAGGAGTAGCTATGTTCTGGAATGGCCTAGCCAGTCTCTAGACCTCAATCCAATAGAGAACCTGTGGTGGGAGTTGAATGTTTGTGTTGCCTAGCAACAACCCTAAAACATCACAGCTCTAGAAAAGATCTGTATGGAAGAACAGCCCAGGACAGCAGCAACAGTGTGTGCTGACCTGGTGAAAACCTACAGGAAATGTTTGACCTCTGTCATTGCCAACCAAGGTTACATTACAAAGTATGGAGTTGAACTTTTGTTACTGACCAAATATTTATTTTCTGCACTATTGTACAAATGAATACTTTAGAGATCACATGTGATTTCCTGTTTCTCACTGATGACGGAGGCTCACTGTGAGTATAACTGAACTCAGCCTTACAAACTGAAATCTCTCAGCATTCATATGTAATTTAGATATTTTGCACACATTGGATATTATGAAATATATGAAACAAACAAAAACATGTGCCTGACTCACCATCAATTGCAGCAAGGCCACCAGGTAAAATCCTTTTGACGTAGACTCCAAACTCTTCTCCTGTTTGCTCCTTGACACCACCGATGACTTTAATTCCTGTTAGAAGGAAAAACGAACAAAGGCCCCTCAGTGGAATTTCTCTAGATTTTTAATCATTCCCAGAGTCAGACCCAACAGAAGCAGAATGCTCAGAAAGGCATAATTAGCTGTTAGATCTACACTCACTGACAAAAACTTTAAGCACCCAGACAGACAAATAAAAAACGAATAAAAGCCTCAATCATAGCTCGGATTACAGTGGATTTGATTCGATCAATTTAGTTCAATTAGCGTCCCACAGCAGTGGGCCACAGAGGGGCTTTAGTGGGAAGACCACATGCGCGGGCCATGGTACCACTGTTAAATGCATATGAGGGTCCCACTTTCATGGGACCAAAGGGGGCAGCCCACATTTGCAAACCAAGCCCTGCTGGGCCCCTACATGGTCCCAAATAATGAGACCCTCATGTGCCCTATATTTCAGCTGTGGGTCCCACTTTGGGCAAACCTTTGTGGACCACATTTTGGCCTAAAAGGATTCCACATTGGGACCCAGGCGGACATGTTTACTGGGTGAGTGCGTGTTTAGCACTGTGACATCAATCCCCAAAAACTTGCTTGGCCTGGTGATAGAGAAGCCCACAGGAAGTTAAAGAGGAAAAAGGGTTTTACCAGACACAAATAAAAGTACAATTCTGATAATGGAAAATACACCTCACCTCTCCCCCTGTTCGCGTATCGATCATAATGTGTCACTACTGTGCTTTCGTATCACCAGATGTGGTTAAAGTCGGACTTGCAGGATAAAGATTCCTTTTCATTTTAAAGGTGTAGTTCGCTGACAAAACATTTCAATGGTTATTTCTGAACACAATCAATCAAATCAAAATCAAAGATACTTTATTAATCCCAGAGGGAAATTAGAATATATATAAAATAATCAGTCACTCCGTTTTTCATGCAGACTGAACATGAAAATAGTCTCCTACACCTATCTCCTGCATAGGGCTACAGCTAGTGAATATTTTAGTATTCGAATATTCTATCAGATCCACTCTCGATTAATCAAATATTTTATTTGACGACTTTTCAAGGAGGATATAAATTCTGTTTGAAAGCGAGCATCTCGTTCTGACAATTAGCAGTAGCCTACCTGGTGGTGGATTTGCTCCTGAGGCTGGCTGAAGACAGCGGCTGGCACTAGGCATGATGGGTGCATCACTTCATCTGCCTCTCTTCCTACTAGGGGCTGCATGAATTTTTTTTAAAGTCGACACGACAGTCAAGTAATGAAAATCGAGTCGACTTTGACTAGTCGTTGATGACATCATACACCTGAAGCGGGTTGGTTCGCTGGAGTTTTTGACAATTAAAATTGCGCCCACATTTTCTAAGTTAAACATTTCTTTTAACAACGGTAGTTTCTGCATCTTGCTTCAGCCCTCTCCCCCTCCCCCTGCTTCAGCCCTCTCCCCCCTCCCCCTGCGCGGCGGCGGCAAACTCACTGATGCTCCTGCAGCCTCTCAGAGTTCCTGTTGCTCTAAACATTAAAATAATTATTTCATTTTCTGTTCCTCACTTCTGATTACCTTCAATGGTGTCTGTTTGTTGCAACCAGCAGGTACAAAAACTAACTTGTTTTTATTTGACTATTTTTCTGTCCTTTCTGTTATTATCTTCCTGCATCTCCTCTCAATCCTAAAGAAAAACTGCTACCTGGGTTCATATGTATTCACCTTATGAGTTACCTTTGAACTGCAGTTCTAAAAGATCTACCGACTGCAAATATAGCGGAGTGCGTGCCGGCCGCACCAGTGAGGTGCATCACCGGAGGACAAAACAGGTGATGTGCCCCGCCCCACAGCAGCGAAACGCATCGGGCACAAATAAAAGACAGAAAACATAAAAGGAAATGTGGCGACATGAACGACCGCGTGTTAAATTTGTTTTTGAGGTGGCGACACCTGATTTGATAATGTTACTGTGGCCGTGCTCAGGACCCAGATGTCTGGAGCGCGTCAACGATCAGAGCTTTGCATGCGCAAGCTGGTTAAGGTTAGGATCGGGGTGAGGGGAAGGTTAAATTGCAAGAGGGTAAAGGTCACAATTCGGTCAAATGTCCGTTTTACCGCGGGTGGCAGTGCAGACGCTCTGGCACAGCGCGTCGGGAGGCAACGTGCAGGAGCTTGTCACCTGCTGTCTTTTCCGAGGACTGCATCTTGTCGGTCATTATCACGTGGCAGCGACTAGTCGATGACAGGCATAAAAAGTCACTATAGAGGGGTGAAGTCGACTAGTTGATACAACCCCTAACACACACACACACACACACACACACACACACACACACACACACACACACACACACACACACACACAGGAGCAATGGGCAGTGCGCAAATTTCGTGAGCGATATGCTTCGCGGCGCCTTGCAGCTGATGTGATCCTGGCGTGATTCAGACGTTTCATCAAGAACATCGAGTTTACTGTGACGTCTAACAGCAGGTTGTGTGTGTATTTTAACATATATTTGTTTTACATACAGGTGGAAGGGGCCCTATGTTCATTGTGCACTAGAGGCTGCCACTGTGAACATGGTTTTGACCAATAATTGCATCAGGCTGCGACAAATCCAAGCCTAAGTCAGCAATGATTCATTTAACGAGTCTCTCTGTCGACTTTAGGTTGAATTCTCAAGAAAAATCAAAACACAAGTAGCAACTGAATCAGGCACCATTTGACAGAAATTTAGAGAGTCAACATCTGTGGGATGAGTATGTGGAGGTATGTATTGTGTGGTGTTGTGCCCTGCTCATAATGTTCTGGTACAAACAAATACTGTGAAATAGATACTAATTAGCATCCCATTGTGTTTTACTATGTTTCAGAGTGTCTTTCACATAGATGCTGCAGAAATTCAACATGAATGTGGATGAGGCTGGATTTAACCTTTAACCCTAGACCAGGAGGAAATGTAATAGGACACAGGGCAATTACCAATGTGCCAGGGCAGCGAGGGAGAAAGATCACCCATCGTGCTGCTATCACACTAAACGGGGTCCTCCACCACCATGCAAATCTGGGACCCTACTATGTTAATCCATCGCTTGCATTGCTCGACAGATTGCCACAAGTAGACCAGGTGCGGTACGTTGTGGTTAGGGACAATGTCTCAGTCCAACGGGCTGCTCTGGTCCAGAACTGGTTCCATGAACACCCCGTATACCTTACCCCATACTCCCCCTTCCTGAAGGTTGTTCACATCCACACTAGCTGGAGGGTAAGAACACCATCTCCAGTCATCATACAGAGCTCTGTGATTAAGCTAACAAAACAAAAGCTAGGGATTGAGATCTACTTTAGATCATCTAACACGTCTTTGTGCAGATGAACAAAAAAGTAAACATCTTTGAATATTAACGAGTGCTTTGTTTATTCTGACGAGCACCATAAACAGAAACACAAACAACACTAGAGGCTACCCGCTCCAGTTACTGTACACAACAGTGTGTGTGACAAGAGTGTTACCGAGGCTCACACAGAACTACACACCACATGCTGTCATTTTCACACACGCTCATCCTACTGTGCCTGCTTCCATAGAACGATGTCTGGCCAAACATCTAGCACATGCCATTTCCTAACATTATTAAAAAAAATATTTTTTATGTGTTTTATTTATCACAGCAGCGTGAAACTGGCTGCACTAGTGTCTGATCGTTGAGGGCTGTGTTGCTGAATGAAAACTAATAGCATTTTTACAAACATGCATATTTTTGACTGAAGTGTGTCACTATACAAAGGTTCTGGGAATGAAGCAAACTGAGGGTCGTGTTTGGATATTTGTGATTATATTTAGAAAAATAAATGAACCCGATTTACAAAAGATACCAGCGAGGAGATGGGAGTTTTCTGTGTGTTCAGAACCTAGCTTGTTTATGCTTCCTTTATCATAGTAAATCTAAACACCAATTACTATACCACCACACTGTGTATTTGTAATAATGTGTAAAAAGCAAGTATGAAAAATTCACAAACTAGATCTAAAAAATCAGAAAAGCTAAAAAACTATGAAAGCAGGAAGGATGATATTATTCTAACTATTTAAACTGTTAACAATAAGGCAATGGAGTTATTTACAACTCGCAGCCCGCACAGATCACCTTCCCTTTTCTGGCGCTCTCCGGCCCACAGAAGTTTGTTGAATCTTTGGGTGTTGGCTGACCTCGTTCCACCTGCCTGGATAGCAGTCTCCCCTCCATAAACACAGCTCTGAAGCCCTGAGTTGCTGCAGAGACTTGCAGCAATCATATTCAGTTAGTCTTCTTTCCAATAAATATGAAATCCAGATAGAATAAAAAGGTACAGTTTAAGGAAAAGTTCGGGACATGCAAATGTTTCTTTTTATTGACGACATTAATTAAATATTGAATGGAAAACTGGTCAAAATGACGCCTTGGCCGTTAAAAACAGCAATAAGTTCACGCCTATCAGTCATTCACCCATTCACACGCTGGTGATAATGAGCTACAGCCACAGCTGCTCTGGGGCGCACTGACAGAGGCAAGGCGCAGGTGCTATTGGTCCCTCTGACCACCATGCGCAGTCAATGTGGGAAATGGGTAGCAAGTCTACGACTGCAAAACCACTACAAAGTTGTTTATTTGTTTATTTTGAACTTGTCCTGTAGTCGCAGTTGAAGCAGATGGAATGAAGGGTTTGAGTGTGTTATGGGCTTTGAGTAATTGTTTTCTCTGTTACCGGGGAATTCACACAACTTCGGGTCCTTGGAGGAGAAGAGGAGAGCAGAGAGGAGAGTGGGGGCGTGAGCTCCTGCTGCAACGAGGTGCAGGGTTGCCGGGACAACGGGGGAGGATCCCCACAACAAGGACAGACAGCGGAAATATCGAGGGGAGGAATCTCCAGGACGCGGATCAGGGATCACACCTGCAGCAAATGAACTGATGCTCGCCTCACCTCTTCAAACAGGATTTAAGCAGTTCATGGACGCTCCGACGGGGAGCGACTCTTTAACCTTGAGCTCGTCTCCGCAGCTGCTTCATTGTGCACATTCACTAAGTGTGATAAGTAATAAAAAGAGATTATAACTCTCAAGTATTTTGTTGTTTACGTCATTCTATTGGTCCTAGAAGACGTTCAGACAGACGTGTGTGCACTTAAGAAAGTCAAAAGAAGCTGCTGCTCTTCTGTACTCCGTTTTGGTACATTTGTATTTGTTTTGGGACATTAGAACCTCACCCCCCCTCCCCCCCCCTTTTCCGTTGTGAAGATATAACATGGGGGCTCGTCCGGGATTTTGTGGTTTTATTACTCAGAATAGTGGGTAGGATTTCGGCCCGGGAGGGGGGCATAAGTTTGGGGTATTTGGTATAGTAACCTTTTGTCATTTCTGTCATTTGTCATTGCTTTTGAGAGGCGATGTCTACATTTATTTTGAAAGATTTTCTTGCTGCACCTTCACGTAGACAACTGGAAAAGTGTCGCAAGAGCGATTTACTGGAAGTAGCTGCCTACTTTGGTCTTGCCGGCTCACAGCACATGCTGAAGACTGATCTCAGGGCCGAGATTATCTCCTTCATGGAAAATAAAAAACTTCTCTCCCCTTTGGCTGATATTGCTATTTTGCCTTCACAGCAGGATATGGACAATGCGGAAGGTGAAGAGGCGAGGAGCGCATCTGAGGGTGGTGATTCCAAGGATGGAGCGGAGATCATGAGGACTCCAGAGCGGGGTAAGGTCGCCAAGTCTCCCCCAGTGACTCTTCCTCGTTAAGATCCAGAGTCTCCGGAACCGCGGCCTGGTTCGGGACCGGTGTCACCTGATCACGCCCGGCTACAGGTGCGACTCGCACGCCTGAAATATGAGGCCGAGGACAAACAGCGAAGGCGGGAGTTCGAGCTTCGCAAACTGGAACTCGAACTGGAAGCTGACACGAGACTAAAGATGAGACGAATGGAGCTGGAGATGCAGGCTGAGAGAACTGTCCATGGTGCTGATGCAGCATCTAGAGGCTCCCTGGCAGCGACTGAGAGACTGGATGTCGGGAAGTGCATGGGGCTGATGCCGCCGTTTCGCGAGGCCGAAGTGGATAGTTACTTCGCCGCATTTGAGCGTATCGCTACGACACTCAGTTGGCCGCGTGAAGTGTGGCCTCTTCTCCTTCAATGTAAGTTGTCTGGGAAAGCGCAGGAGGTAATGACTGCTCTATCTGTCTCTGACTGTGGGGATTATGATACTATTAAAGACGCAGTTTTACATGCCTATGAATTAGTACCTGAAGCTTATAGGCAGAAATTTAGATCTCTACGTAAACGTGATGAGGGGCAAACATTTGTTGAATTTGCGAGAGAGAAGGGTTTACTGTTTGATAAATGGCTGCAGTCCTCAAAAGTGACCAACCTGAACGAATTACGAGAGTTAGTTCTACTGGAGGAGTTTAAAAGATGTCTTCCTGAAAGAACAGTGTTGTATTTAAATGAGCAGAAAGTGAATAATCTGTCAGCTGCAGCACTTCTGGCTGATGAGTTCATGCTAACCCACCGTGTTAAAGTGGAAAAAGTAGTCAGGGACAGATCGCATGCTGTAAAACCTAGGCACTTTGAAAGAAACTCAGAAACAAGTCCACCAAGGTGTTTTTACTGTCACCAGGTGGGTCATATTGTCAAAGATTGTCTGATCCTGAAGAGGAGAGAGAGGAAAAATGATCGTGTGGTAGCATTTGTTGCATCAGATGAAACTCAGAAAAGGCCAGGCTTGCTTGACCCCTCATATCAACCATTTATTTTGGAGGGTTCTATAAGTATGGGGGAGGGGTAGAGCGTGCCAATAAAAATCCTCAGAGATACTGGAGCATCTCAATCATTGGTACTGGAGTCTGCGCTTCCCTCTGAGGCAACAGTCAATACAGAAACGTCTGTGTTGTTGAAGGGTTTGACGGGTGAAGTTATGTCATGTCCACTTTGTGAAGTGAAAATCACAAGTAACCTTGTGTCAGGTGTTTTTAAAGTGGCTGTGTGTAAAACTTTACCTATTGCAGAGGTTCATCTGCTGCTGGGAAATGACATAGCAGGAGGAGCCGTTGTTCCTGTGCCTCAGGTCATTGAACACCCAGAGAAAGTTGCCTGTGTGATGTCCCCACGAGGTATTGTTCCATCGTGTGTAGTGACCAGATCAGCTGTACGTCATGAGGCAAATGAATTCCAAGGGCTTTCTGATCTGTTTTCTGACTCCAGTTGTACTTCAGACATGCACCAGCTACGAGATGTAGGCGTTACCGATAAAGATGTTGCAGAAGAGAATCTACATTTTGAGTCCCAGGACCGTTTGGTTTCACGTTCAACATTAATAGATGAACAGAAAAGGGACAAAACATTAAAGAAGTGTTTTGATGCAGTACATTCGTCTGTTAAATTCTCGACAACATTCTTTTTGGAAAACGATCTACTGATGAGGAGCTGGGAAAATCCAGTAGAGGGGAAAGCTCCCTGGGGAGTGGTACACCAGATTGTAATACCGGAGTGTTTTCGAAGACAGATAATAGCCTTAGCTCATGAAAGTAGATGGTCAGGACACTTGGGAGTGAAGAAAACTTATTTGTCTATCCTAGATCATTTCTTTTGGCCGGGGATGAAACGGGATATAGCAAAGTTTTGCAGAGCCTGCCACACGTGTCTGATGGTGGGAAAGCCAAATCAGCCCATTAAACCGATGCCGTTGTCACCCATTCCTGTAATAGGACAGCCTTTTGATCACGTCGTCGTAGATTGTGTGGGTCCGTTGCCACGCACAAAGTCTGGGAAAAAGTTTTTGTTGACCATAATGTGCAGTGCCACCAGATTTCCAGAGGCAATACCATTGGCTACCATAACTACCAAGAGTGTGATCAGAGCTTTATCAAATTTCTTCTCGCTCTTTGGTCTACCACGGGTGATCCAAACAGATCAAGGGTCAAATTTCACGTCTGACCTCTTCAAACAGGTCACAAAAGTATTGGGGATCCAACATATTATGTCTGCCCCGTACCATCCTGAATCACAGGGAGTCTTGGAACAATGGCACCAAACATTTAAGTCGATGTTGAGGAAATACTGTTTTACAACATCTAAACAGTGGGATGAAGGTGTGCCTTTCTTGTTGTTTGCAGCTAGAGAAGCTACGCAGGAGTCGCTGGGATACAGCCCAGCGCAACTTGTTTTTGGGCACACTCCTAGGGGGCTGTTACAGGCTTTAAAGGAGTGGTTTCTGCAGTCACCAGGTTCACTCAAAATGAACGTAAACAAATACGTGAAATGTTTTAGGAGTCGCTTAAGATTTGCAAACCAAATAGCACGAGAGCATTTGAAAAACGCGCAGAAGGTGATGAAAAGCCACTTCGATCAAAAGGCTAAACTGTGCGATTACTTGCCAGGAGAGAAAGTGTTAATGTTAAGTCCTAGTGTTGGTGACACATTGAGTACACGTTTTGAGGGTCCATTTGAAATCAGCCACAAAATCAATGAAAACACTTATGCGGTTAAAACATCACACCGTCGGAAAGCTGTAAAAATCCTGTCATGGGAATCTATTAAAAACTTATGTTCCCCAGGTCTCAGCGGATCAGATGCAGGATGGAGCACCAGTGTGCGCAGCTGGTCTCATCGCCACGTCCGATCCACAGGAGGAAGTAGTGATTCGAGCTTCACATGCCGTAAGTCCGCGCTTGAAAAATTCTGAAGTGTTGTTGAATTTGGATGAGAAATTAACACATTTAACAGAACAGCAACGTGAAGATGTGACTGTGTTAATTAATGCACATCTTAGCTTGTTTTCAGATGTCCCTACGATTACGAACGTGTGTCACCATGACGTGATTCTGACCAAACTTCAACCTATAAACCAGCACCCTTACAGGGCAAGTCCAGAAAAACGCCGCCTAATGAAACAGGAAACGGATTACCTGGTTCAAAATGGTCTAGCGGTAGCAAGCTGTAGTCCATGGGGGTCTCCTTGTTTGGTAGAGGAGAAGCCTGATGGGTCAACCAGGTTCATCACAGACTATAGAAAAGTTAATGCTGTCACTGAGCCGGATTCGTACCCATTACCGCGTGTTGATGACTGCGTGGATAGCATAGGTATGTCTACGTATATATCAAAAGTAGACTTGTTAAAAGGTTACTGGCAAGTGCCTCTTACTGAGAATGCGTCGAAAATCTCCGCTTTTGTTACTCCAGATGCGTTTCTGCAGTACAAAGTCATGCCCTTCGGGATGAGGAATGCACCTGCTACATTCCAGCGTCTTATAAATACTGTCATAGCTGGCTTAGAGAATTGCAGTGCATATTTGGATGACATAGTCATACACACAATGTCATGGCAAGAACATCTACACACTTTGAAGGAGTTGTTTAAGCGCTTGGTTAGGGCAAATCTAACTATTAACCTTGCGAAATGTGAGTTTGTTAAAGCCACAGTCACATACCTGGGGAAGGAAGTGGGACACGGATTTGTTCGTATGCTTAAAGATAAAGTGCTGTCAGTTTCAGCCTTTCCGGTGCCCAGGACGAGACGGGAGCTGAGACGATTTCTGGGGATGGTAAGCTACTATCGCTGTTTTTGTCCAAATTTTGCAACAGTGGTACATCCCCTTACTAATCTGTTAAGTCCAAAATATCCATTTGTGTGGAGTGAAGAAGCCCAAGCAGCTTTTACGTCCTGCAAAGTTCTTCTCTCCAGTGTACCTGTGTTGAAGGCTCCAGATTTTGCCAACCCGTTCACCTTGGAGGTTGATGCTAGCCAAGTGGGGGCGGGTGCCGTTCTACTGCAGGCCGATGAGAAGGGGATTAACCATCCGGTGGCGTATTTCTCGAAGAAGTTCTCTCCCTGTCAAGCCCGGTATTCGGTTATTGAAAAAGAGACGCTTGCCCTAATAATGGCTCTGCAACACTTTCGAGTATACGTAGGTTCTACTACCGTACCCTTGGTAGTGTATACGGACCACAATCCGTTGTCATTCTTGGCCAAAATGTTCAATCAGAACCAGCGCTTAATGCGGTGGGCATTGCTTTTGCAAGAATATACTTTGGAGATCAAACATAAAAGGGGTACTGATAACGTGGTAGCGGACTGCCTGTCCCGCATGCCTGATTGCAGTTGAGGTTGTTGTTTTTTTTTGTTGTATTTTTTATTTCGTTTTTCTTCTTTGAGAAGTTTTCGTATGTGACGGATTGTAAGTTTGACTTCATCAAACTTTTTGTGAGCAGGGGAGGTGTTATGGGCTTTGAGTAATTGTTTTCTCTGTTACCGGGGACTTCACACAACTTCGGGTCCTTGGAGGAGAAGAGGAGAGCAGAGAGGAGAGTGGGGGCGTGAGCTCCTGCTGCAACGAGGTGCAGGGTTGCCGGGACAACGGTGGAGGATCCCCACAACAAGGACAGACAGCGGAAATATCGAGGGGAGGAATCTCCAGGACGCGGATCAGGGATCACACCTGCAGCAAATGAACTGATTGCTCGCCTCACCTCTTCAAACAGGATTTAAGCAGTTCATGGACGCTCCGACGGGGAGCGACTCTTTAACCTTGAGCTCGTCTCCGCAGCTGCTTCATTGTGCACATTCACTAAGTGTGATAAGTAATAAAAAGAGATTATAACTCTCAAGTATTTTGTTGTTTACGTCATTCTATTGGTCCTAGAAGACGTTCAGACAGACGTGTGTGCACTTAAGAAAGTCAAAAGAAGCTGCTGCTCTTCTGTACTCCGTTTTGGTACATTTGTATTTGTTTTGGGACATTAGAACCCCCCCCCCCCCCCCTCCCCCTTTTCCGTTGTGAAGATATAACAGAGTGCCAAACCACGTCAGAGCAGTTTTGTTTAAAACAGGAGGGCTAGGAGATATCCGATCTAGTGTGTTGTTGACACACACACACACACCCCCCCCCCCCACTGCACAAGAAACATTTCACAGCGCCCCATGAGTGCGCATGCACACGTGTACATGCACACATACTCCCCGACTTGCATCTTCCCCCGCGCAGCAGTAGCCAGTAGCAGAGAAAGGCCCCCCTGTGTGGGAATGGACCAGTGGGCCACCACCCCGGTGCAGACGGGCAAGGAGCCAGCTGCAGACCAACACCAAAAACCCCAGACCCAATGTCACTTCCAAGAGGGCTTGAAGCACAGCCTTGTGTTATGTGATTGAACCTGTTCAATAGTTAACACACATCATCAACTATTGTGTAATTGACATGCATTTGAACATGTGGATATGCTTTTACTCTGCCTTTAATCAATAGAAAAAGCTGTTTTCCTCATTATTTAAATCTAGTTCATTATCAGCCCAAAGCAGTAAAACGTGAGCATCAATACCGTCTGGATGCTGCATTTGAAGCATGTTTTACTAGAGAAACAGTACGAGAGAGAGAGAGAGCGAGAGAGAGAGAGAGAGAGAGAGAGAGAGAGAGAGAGAGAGAGAGAGAGAGAGATCAGCAACCACCAGTCAGAGTGGGAGAGGTCAGAGAAGATTAGCTTCTAGATTAGTGGAAGGTTTAGTGAACGGATAAAGGATAACTACACATCATCAACAACAGAAAGAAACTTACCAAGTCCATTTTCACAGTCAACAAACTCCATAGAATGGACAGCTCTGTCCACTCCGTATGGGCCCATTAGTGTCCTGCCAGCAAAGGAGGAGGGACGAGGATGGAGAAGAAGACAGGGGGAGAAAAAAGATGGTTGAGAGTTCTTAGACCTTCAGACCTTCATCCTTAGATCTTCAGACGTGCTCCATGAGCACTGACTGAAAAAACATCTAGCATTATGAATCAAACTGAATATTCAGCTATTCAGAGATTCACATGTTCTCTCACACTTTTACCACAACTGAATTATATTGTGACACACTTCCTGCTCCTTTTGAGCGCAGCAATCTTTCCCATAGACTTGCGTCACAACTGGCGCATGTGCACTGGATCCCCCCAACACAAAGAATTGGAGAGCCTTTGGTCGCAGAGGTATTGCGACGAACACCGGGCAGCTCAGCTCAGATCAGGAAGTTCACCCGCAAACGGGAGCTCTCCACAGTTCACCGTTCTTCATTTATTTTTTAGTTCACCATTCTTTGTTCGTTTTAGATCAGCTGAGCTCCTGGTTGGAGTTTTTTTTTCATTATAGAGAACCAAAAAATGATGGAAAATTGCATCAGAGACTTATAAACACTCTCCGGCAGGTAAAAAAGGGTTATTTTTATAGTATAACATGGATTATTATGACAATAAACCAACAAAGGTAAGACTGGATTAATGCTTTTGACTTCACAAAATTACCTTTATTAGTTTTGCGGCTGAGTTTGTGTATGTTGGTGAATATTAAACATGTTTTTGGAACATCTTTGGTGCTACTGGGTCTGTCGGATTCAAGTTGTGCGAAGCATAAGAATGGTAGTTTGGCACCCCCTAGTGGTGATATGTGATTAGAACATCTAAAAACAGCTCTGTCGCCACAACCGCAAATTGCAGAAGTAAATTATTAGAATTATGCGCTATGAGGCTATTTTTAATACATTCATAATGTGAATACTTTCTAATCAGTGTTTCTGCTGAAACACTTTTGTTTTTGGCTAGAACTATGATGAAATAATGATTAAAAATGTATGTTTTTGGCACGTTTTATTTAAACGTGTTTGACACCAATGTTTAGTGAGTTATTTTATTTTTTTCTGCTTACTTGAACTGTTTTGCTGTTGTTTAAAAAAACAGGAATGTGACTGAAAATTACAAACATTTAAAAGATTTATTATTTTTTCAAATAAACTATTATTTACCTTACTTATCTGCCCATAAACCATCATTTTGTAAGGAAGCAAATGGATACGAAACATGTTCACAGAACAAATTTATTAAGACATAGCCTCGTTAGCAGCATTGGGAACTTTTTAAAAGTAATTAGTTATAGTTAAAAAAGTAACTCAGTTACTTAACAAATTACAATATTAAAAAATGGTGGGTGGTGGACTTCAGCCTGGCGAGGTCTTCGACCTGCAGGAGTCAATGTGCTCTGCGCTTCTCCCGAGATCTCCCTCCCACCTGTGACTGGACAGTAGATGGGCAACGTAGATGGCTGCTCTCGCTGGGGGAAACAGGATCTCAGCATGAGACCCAATAGGGGGGGGGGGGGGGGGCCCTATTGGGTCTCATGTTGTGCTGTCTGAAGTCTGTTGCATATCTGTTGGTGTTTCTTTGCAGTGGGAGGGTAGCTGTGAAGTGCCTTTTTTCCCCTCCTCCCTGATCAATTCCTCATGTAACCCTCTTATCTCTATTAAGGTAGCACGACTCAGGGTTGACCCATTTTGCACATTATTCTAATTTTTCCAGATTAACATAATTGTGTGTTTTTATCAGCATTTCTGTTGCTGCTAATCTAGTAATAGTTAAATTAATAAATAAAATCCTTTAAAATGACACTAGAAGAGGCACAAGCCTGATGGAGGACTTACATTTACTAACTTGGGTCAGACCCAACCACAGAAGAGCTGAAGCTGGGTGGTAAACACACACAGGTAGTTCTACTAACACCTGAGCACCATGACGTCTGAGACTGATGCATCAGCGTTACAGCGGGACTAAAGACATGATCAGGAACAGGTTACAGCTGGATGATCTAGGAAGGTAGGAGATCAGGACGTCTGAGCGGTGAACAGGTGAGCGGACCTTCGGGACGTCCCGTTGTCACGTCAAGAAGGGCACGGCTGCAGACCCGCACCTGCAGCAGCGAATCTGGTATATTATGATGTCACAATGTCGTTGTGAGCCTGTGTGTTTGTTAATGGCTCCGCCCTCTCGGTCTGTCAGGCAACAGCATTCATTGCATTTTTCAAACATGAAGTAGGAGTGGAGTAGTGCTAGGGGGTGACTTGCTCTTTAAGTGCAGTTGGTTTGCATGTTTTTTTTCAAGAAAGCTGAACAAATCAGATTTAACAGTGTGTGTTGACTAAAAAAAGCATAAGTAATGTTATTGTTAAAAAAACTGTTCTAATTTTTTTCTATATGTAAAGTGCATGTAATACCATAATAAAGTCACATATATTATTAAACAATTAATTATTTAACCAGTGTCCTGTCTGGCAGTAGAGCATACAGACAGTTTTTTGAGTGCCATATAGACACTACTTACTTTACTGCACGTGTACATGGTTTTATTATAAATTTATAATTTAAATCTTATTTAAGTTTATTATAACTAAGAGATAATGGGACTCGGCGTGAAAAAAGAAAAGGAAAAGAAAAATTATGCTAATATTGATGGATAAGATATAGTAAAGATACATGAAAAAAGAGAGAAATACAAAAAAGGTTTAAAAAGTGAGAGAATTACAATCATGAGCAGTTTTAGCAATTTGCTCTGAAGCAGCGTTAATTTCGTTGACAAAATATTATTTTTATGATGAATGAATTTTCATGGACTAAAACGAAACGAAAACAAAAACATACACACCATGACTAAACTATGACGGTTATTGACCGACATTGTCGTTGACAAATAAGAGATGACAACAAAAATTGACAGAAACAAAAATCCAATTAGAAAACGGAAAAGACGGGCGACCAGAAAAAAGAACCAATCAGCAAATGGAAAAGGCAGAACTAGACAAGAAAAGAACCAATCAGAGTTCGCAGCCGGCCGCTGTTTGACCAAGCTACCGCTTACCAGACGTCATACACTGATGTTTATGCCGGTAAAAGTTATGTCTAAAGGGAGAAAATGTTCGTGGCTGGGAGTAAAAGCCGTAGATGTGACGATCTGAAAAGTATTTGCTTGGTGAGTACACTGTAAACCTTAATAAGTTCACAGAACTCAATAATTATTTTGTAACAGATTACACAAAAATATTTAAGTGATGTTTTTAAACATAATAAAAATAAATAAATAAATAAAAATTACCTTTGCGGTTTCCTCAAATTATCTCAATGTTATCTCATAATCATTGATATTCCTCAACTTATAATTAGGGAGGGGGATCTGAACATATGCGGCTTTCTTGTGTTGGACATGATGACGAACTGACAAAATTTGTGTCTTTTGATTTAATTGTTGTTTATTCAAACTAACAAGTACAGCAACGGTGTAGCTATTCTTTTCTATTTTAGTTGAATTAGCAGACTCCATGCTTCCAGGGTGCACTGCTGCCCTCTGCTGGTTCTTTCAGGTTACAGTCATAGAGCTCATATGTCCCTAAACAGCGACTGTATTTTAAGATGGTGGATGACCATGAAGGGTCGACCACAGTTTCCATCCATCCATCCATTGTCTCTACCCGCGTTGTCCACGTAGGGTCACGGGGGGGGGGGGGGGGGGCTGGTGCCTATCTCCAGCGGTCAATGGGCTATCAGGCGGGGTACACCCTGGACAGAGATCCAGTCCATCACAGGGCAACACATAGGCACACAGTCACGCACACACACACACACACACACACACACAAAAACACACACACACACACACACACACACACACACACACACACACACACACACACACACACACACACACACACACACCTAAGGACAATTTAGACAGACCAATCAACCTAACAGTCATGCTTTTGGACTGTGGGAGGAAGCCGGAGTACCCGGAGAGAACCCACGCATGCACAGGGAGAACATGTAAGTTGCTTTGGACAAAAGCGTCAGCTAAATACATAAACATAAACATGCAAACTCTATGTAGAAAGATCCCAGGCTAGGAAGCAAACCCAGGACCTTCTCTCTGCAAGGCAACAGCTCTAACCACTGCGCAGCCCTGATCGCAGTTTATATATAAAAAATGTATAATTTCAAGTTGAGGGGAATATTTAGAATTGATGCTGGTGAGAAGTATTAGTGAAAACGGACAAGTTTGTGAACTGAAAACACAGGATTTGATAGTAAACAGGTAATGTCATGTTGAGAGCGTAGGAGGATTGGACCCAAAATACAGACACCAGAACATCTCAAGGCAGAAGTGGTTGTATAAATAAAATTCCTTTTGTTACGGATGCTGCTCAACACACAAAAGGTGCAGGACTCTAAGCCTGAAACAAAAACCTGGAATGACAAAAACAAAAGCTCACTTATGAGCCAGAATCTGGAGTCACTCGAGAGGGACAAAACAACGCTGACATATACAATGGACCGACAAAATACTGAGACGCAGACAGGGTTATATGCACAGGGGCTGGGTGATTAGGAAACGAGGAGCAGGTGCGTGGGGAGACAGAACTGAGGAGAGACAGGTGGAATCAATAAACTAAATGGGAAGAGAAAACCAAGCAGAGGAGGGGATAAACCATAACCTATGGGACTCTACATAAATAACCCTAAAAGACTAAGGGCACAGGAGAACCAAAGATAATAACTAATGGCGTGAGGAGTGAGGGAGACTAATAAACAAGTGGGGAAGGAAAACACACACACGCTAAAAGAAAGACTAATAAAATGAAAACCTGAACCTATGGAAAACTACAGAGGAGCGACTAGGGGAAAACCTCAAGGGGCACCTGGGGGAAAACCTGGAGGGGCTGGGGAACCAAAAGGACACAGAACATGACAGATAAAAAATATCACACACTGAGCCTTTAAAACAAGGAAAAGGTTGAACTAACTCAACACAAGTTTCACCTACTCGTATTTGATTTTTTTTTCAATATTTTGGTTTACCCTAACCTTGGTTACAAAAGTGTTAAGCATAATTTATACTTCTCTGTCAGCTCCAATAGGGAGAGACACGCACGCATGGACAGAGACGTTTTGCCCTCATACTCCTCCGTCTCCCGGGAAGTGTTGCAAAGCAATTCCCCGCTAGAACAACAGAGGGCGTAACACTGTAATGTGGTATCCTGTCATGTATCCGTTCCAAGATAAGTGGGTAGTGTGTTTTTTGTATTTAAAGAGACTTTTTAACTTCGACAAATTTGCCCCTCATCCTCCTCTACCTCTTCATGCGCTTGCCACCTCTAAACCTACGTTTCCTGTCATTTCTGTCCACGAATAAAAGGCTTGCTGTGTATCTTTCCACTCCTCCAGTCATGGAGGAATAAAACATTCATATCTGGCGGCACAGCGGCGTTCCAACCAATCACTCACTTGCGTTCTCTGTCTTGTTGGATGTTTAAAAAAGAGAGCTTGACTCCATTAGTCCTTGCGAGCCTGCTGGAGAGCCCCTGAAGTGACTGATAATGGCACTGCATGCGTGCGTCCCGACGCAGACGTATAAATGAGGTTTTACGATGTTGTTACGGGGGGTGGGTGAGGGGGTGCTGGAGCTCAGTGAACCGAACCGAACCGAACCAGGAAGCAGCATCACTCGTGTTGTTGTCTAATCTTTTTTCATATTTCGTTACTGTTTGAAGTAGTTAACATTTCCTTTTCACAAGTTGGAAATTATTGCATGAGAAGAAATATACATATATTTTAGTCGACTAAAATGAGACTAAAACTGAAACTAAATCGTGACTAAAATAAAAAGAATTTTAGTCAAAGGACTAAAACAAAATTTTAATTTCTTGTCAAAATTAACACTCAAATATCAGCGAGACAGAAACAATAAGATAATGCCCTTTTTCGTTTCCATTTTCCCCGTGCCTCCATGAAATACTGGCCCCACTGAGGTCCCCCTGGAAAATTTGGCCTAGAACTGCCCCTGAACATGTGCATGTATGTAAAAGTTCTGTCACTAAGAGACTAAAAACCGATACCAATACTTTCCAAAATTATATTTTAATCCCAATATCGGCCGATCTGAATGGTGATAGTATCGAACATCCCTAATTTTAACTAATAAGTAGAAAGTACATTTTGATATGGTGTGATTGTCTTGTGGTTGGCTGAAATATTTTGGTAAATGTGTGCGTGTGTTGATTCTACTTTACAGCTCAGAACTGTGAACATATATATCTGATTTATCCATAACAGCATGCGCCACGGAGCGCACCGACTCTCCGTTTTTGATCCGTTACGCAGCGCGCAGCTCGATCACTGACAGATGGAGTAACGGAACCGCGCACGTCTTCGGTCATTTTTTAACCGGACTCTGATTGCAGTCGATTTTATGTTCGGTGCCCTCCATAGAGCAACATGTAGGAGGCTTAAAGCTGGACCCTCATAACACCAACTCCGAACCAGCGCCCTACCTGCTGATGATCACTGCTCCTTTAAACATGACCGAAAAGGTTGGCATGTTGGCCAGCAGCCCGCTGCTCGGTGACACGGAGGCTTGGTGTCGGTGGAGCTCCGGTTGCTGTCAACCCTCCGCCAGCAGCCACATGACGGTCTGTCTGCTCAGGCTGTCCGCTCCAACATTTCCACCTTCTCACGCCGCTAATCTCTTACATAACGAGCCCCTCAAATTCTAACAAAACGCACCGAGCTGCAGCCATCCTGCTGGATTATCCCTCACACGTTGTTTTCCTGTCACACTTCCTCCTGGTGGGCTTGTGTTCATGCAGCAGAACCAACATTTAGGCAAGGACACCCTCTTTATGAAGCCCGCGAGAGGGAAACGTGGAGAAGCAACTTAACTCAGAGATAAGAGAAAACTGTCTCCAGTAAGTTAGAGTGCTGCTGGCTGTGAACAGGTGTGTGCGCGTGCGTGTGTGGTGCGCGCGCGCGTGTGGGTGTATGTGTATATAAGTGAGTGTGCGTGTGTGGTTGTGTGTGCGTGTATGTGTGTGCGTGTATGTGTGTGTACATGTGTGTATAGGTGTGTTTGTTTGTGTGTGTGTGAGCACGTGTTTGTGTATGCATGTGTGTGTGTGTGTGTGTGTATGCATGCATGTGTGTGTGTGTGTGTGTGTGTGTGTATGCATGCATGTGTGTGTGTGTGTAAGAGAGAGTTTTCTTATGATAAATATGATACATTTTATTTTATTGCACTTTACATTTCTGTTCACCTTCGACAACTCAGACTTCACCTACAACACCAGCAGATGTCACCTCCAGAGATTCTCTGATGACTCGGCCTTTGTCATCTGTGTGTCTGAGGGAATGACCTGGAGTACAGGTCAGTCATCATGGACTTTTTGGACTGGTGTGAGCGTAACCACCTTTGCTTGAACACCAGTAAGACAAAGGAAATGGTGACTGACTTCCAGAGAAACACTCCTCCTCACTCACAGGTAAACATCCAGGGAGCAGACACTGAGGTGGTGGATACCTTTAAGTACCTGGGTGTTCACCTCAACAGCAAACTGAACTGGTCCAACAACACAGATGCTGTATAAGAAGGGCCAAAGCTGCCTCCCCCTCCTGAGGAGGCTGAGGTCCTTCAGAGTTAATCCCAGCTGCTAAAATCCTTTTATCACTCTGTTGTTGGCTCTGTTATCCACTCTGCTGTGGTCTGTTGGGGTGCAGGCAGCTCTGACCGAGACAGGAAGAGACTGAACACGCTAGTCAGCAAAGCTAGCTCAGCTCCGAGCTGCCCACTGGATACAGCTGAGGAGATGTGTGAAAGAAGGATGCTGGAGAAGATGACCTCCATCTTTAAAAAATCCTCCCACCCACTGTGTTCCACTGTGGAGACCATGGACAGCTCCTTCAGAGGCAGACTGACATCCCAGATGTAAAACTACCGTAGGTCATTCATCCCCTCTGCTTTAAGAGTGTAGACCTTCTCAGTCTAACTGGTACTGGCATCATCCTGGTACACAATAACACCAGTGCAATACTCAGTATGTGTTCAATACTCCTGCAATACCAGATTTATATAGTGTGTCTGTGTCCCTTACAGAATGCTGCATAGTTCTAGAACCCAAGTTCTTCATTTTTTATTTGTGGTTTTAGTGGTTGAAGGTTACAATACTAGCTTACTGTCTATGTGCATGCACATGTACCTTTGTTATTGTTTTTCTTCAAATTATTCTCTCAGTGTTGGTGCTGCTGTAACAAGTGATGTTCCCCACGCTGCCGTCTATTCTATTCTATTCTATTCTATTCTATTCTATTCTATTCTATTCTATTCTATTGTACTAAAATCTCAAAGAGCTTTCAGAAGTTTAGTTCAAATTTGTTGAGATAGTGACGTGATTATGAGAAATTAAAATGATTGTAGTCCTTTTGTAAAGCCGTGTCCTGAGTCTCAGGGAGGACATCCCACATAGGAGGAGCAGTGGCACAGAAAGCTCGGTCCCCTATGGTGCTCAGTCTGATTCTCAGATAATAATAAATAATATGAAATATTTACATGTAACTTTACCATTTATGGAGAGAGGAGCCAGTTGAGCCATGCGGAGCAGCACAACCACTCAGGCCCCTGAAGTTCACTTTGCAATTTCCTAAATAAATGTGGTAAAAACTGATTATAATGGGAGAGCAGGCAGTTCTGACTTGCTTTAAGTGCAACAACCCAACGAGACAGAGCCTGGATTTTTATTCTGAACAGTTAAAACATATTTTAAAAGGAGACGTGTGACGCATCAAAAAATGTGGCACCATCTCAGGCCCGGTTGGCCCCCCACAACGCCGCGGCTGCTGTGGCTCCCAGTGTTTTCGTTACTGTGGGAAACAAGTAATAATGGCTCTTTGATGGGAAAAGGATGCTGACTCCTGCTTTAGTAGAACCAAAAGTAAAACGTATCTCCTGGCTGTGCGTTTGTCTTTTAACACCTTATTCTTACAGCTGAAATGTCTCCTCAGCCTTCCTTAGCGTCCACTGGAGTGATTCATCGCTAAATCAAACTAATCAGCCGTGTTCATGAACCGAAACATGCAGGAAATGTGCTGGAAGCAGACTGCTGCGCCAGGCATGTCAGTCCAACAGACTGGATCGGCACTATGAAGTTGCAAATGTGGTATTCTGGCCACAGAGGCTGGTGGGGTTCTGTGACATTTCATAAACTCCTTAAAGGGAGTTTTAGCACATACTGGCTCAAGAACACGATTTTAAAATATAAAAAAGCTGCAAAGTTTCCTTTTAAATGTTCCACGTCTTTCATTTTCTCTGCTGTGTTTCAGCTGTAGCAGGACTGACACACAGCAGGACCGGCCCAAACACTTATCGCCTCTATCTGCATTTAGATCATCCATTACTCAGCCTTCCCAGTTTAAACCAATTTGAGTTTAAGTGCTGCATGTTTCCACTGAAGCTAAAGCTTCTTTCATGTAAAAAAGCGCTGTCTGTTTTATTTAAAAAAGTGTATAATTAATCCTCGTGACCCCATCTGCACACTCTTGAATTCCTCTTTTCATCCCTGAGTTTAACATAATCCCCCAAAATAATTGTATGCATCTAATTCAGCTCCTCATGCAAAGCAAACTAAACCCAGGGGAGAGGGAGAAACAAGGAATCACACGAATGCAGCTTGTCCGCGCTGAAGGGGACTTCTTTCATCGTGCATCAGAGACGGCTGACCCAACTAGGATTCAAACAAGATCACAGAGAGCCATCTACACCAACCTCTACTAAACAGTTAGTCTCTGTGCTCCATGTTAGAAACAGCATCCGTGTCAACGACTGACTCCATCGATGAAGGATAAGGAATTCTTTGCACCACAAACATGCACACATCTCTTTCCTCGAGTATGAAAACGGTGTAGATGACTTCAGACAGACTCACAGCAATCATATCAGTCTACCCGGAACGAAACCCTCAGAGCGACACATCCACCTGTGACTCCATCTCCACGCGATTTAGACAGCAGTAAACAACAGCATCAAGTTTAATCTCTGTTACCAGACTCCATCATAGCACGCCACAGGAATTCCTGCACGGATATTCCTCCTGTTGAGAACGTACCTGGCAAATCCGAGAGGCACTTTGAGCCTTTGGAACATGTCGCTGGTGTTGTGATGAAGCCTGGATGTCAGACTCTGGCTGATGTCATTGTGCCATTGTGTGCTTTCTGTGTCACGGTGCTCTAACAGCTGCAGGCAGATATGAAGTGTACCAACCGATGAGCAGAGCTTAAAGCTAAAGGATAATACACACAAATCCATAAGGCAGGCCGACACACTAAATATAGGCCTTCGTAAGAGGGCTACTTGCCATCCAAACCACCAGCTGACATTTCACTTCATTTATTCTATGTCAGACATTGTAACTGGTTTGATTTTTTACAACCTGATCTTGTTGTGAAGCTTGTTCTGGCTTCAAGAACCAGCAGCGGTTCCACCCCACCTCCCCCACCTCCCCCAGCACAGCATTTGGTCAAATCTACTTAATGCGTGCTTTTAAAGCTGCCTTTATCTTTGTAAGTGAAACATTAAACTCAAAGCTGAGCTCACAACAATATTCAAACAAACTAAACAAATGTTGCAGAGATTAAATCTTCAGTTTTCTGTGGTGAAAACGTGCATGGATGCAACAAATGCTTCTCACTGGGACCAGCCTTCTGCAGGTGCATCACCCATGCTGGATTTGGCATTCACTGAGACGTTTTGAGTCCTTTAGTATTAAATTCTGCATCCTGAAGCTGACCTCCCTGTTGACAAACATGAAGCTAGCTAGCACACCTCATGTCATTAGTGAAGTTATGAAAACTTCCCTTTAGCAGTGAGCTATTCTGTTTCACAGGGTTAATCTCAGCAAAATTTTAATTCATGTCAATATTTTCAGGGATTAAAAACTATCAAACTGCGGTCAAGAAGGGTTATAGTTGGTCTTCTGCCCCCTAGTGGTCACATCAGTTACAACATTATTTATATCATTCAGTGCAGAATGAGCAGCTCATTAAAGGGGGAGTTTTGAATTTTTATGCTCGCGATTGCCCCCTCAGGCCAAAAGCGTAACAGCAGCTTCAATAGTAGGCTCGCGCATGCTGTACGTGCACACTCCTTAACGAAAATAACAGCTGAGACAGTCCCTTGAGTGTGTGTGTGTGTGTGTGTGTGTATGTCCCGGAGGACAGAGGAAATGAGAATGTGCAGCTAATTAATTAAATAATTTGGTTCTGTACCTTTTTCTTCAGCACAGCTGACAAAGGTTTATGATGGGTCAGTCCTCCTGCATGCTCAGATCGTTCCCTTCCCTTGCTTGAAAAATTGTTCCAAAATGAAAGTTGAACCCACATATTTTTTATCTGTGAATTCAATGCTGTTCAGCGAGTCTCAAATAAAAATGTGGGCATTTTACTGTAAAAAATAATATATCTAAAACAACTTTGTTCATATCCAGAATCAAACCCAGGTCTTCTGCACAGGAGTCAGAAATCTTACAAGGTGAGCTAAAGCACCAGCAATGTTCATGGCATCTGTAACTTTTATATCATTGATGACACCTGAAACAACGTCAAACCAAAGAACGGTTCGGAGCGAAAATGGCTATTTTGTTGCTAATTTGCAGGAAATATCTAGGAAATATCTAGAAGAAAGTAGCTAAGGGTCCTCAGAAATGTAGCTAGGTTCATCACTAGGCGTTAGGAACAGCGACAAAGTGGCACTGCCTCTCTCTCTGCTGCTGAAGCTACGGATAGCAAATGCTACGGGCGATGCCTGAGTG